AGAACCACACATGGCTTCCCCGGCAGACGGGAGGGATGGGTGGGAATAACAGGGGGATGTGGTCAGACATGTTGGAGAACTGTGTGAGGCACACAGTAGGGGGACGTGTGCGGCTCCGCGAGGATGCCAAGGCTCAGACCGGAGTGACTACCGTGCAGGAGCCACAGGGATGAAGGAGGACTCTGTCCTGGCAAGGAGGAGCCATGGGGGACTTTAACATCTGACCTTGGCATTTATGGAAGATGCTGCAGGGGATAAATCCTGCACCTCAATTTCTGAAACCCAAACTCAGCGGGACACCAGTCAACTTTTATCCTCATGGTAACTACTGCAGATAGGTCCATGTGGGAGAGCTGTTCCGGTGCACCATGCACAGGGACACACTCCAACGTGGCCCAGATGAGACGCAAGGCGGCGCATGATGGTCACGTTCCTGAAAATATCCCCAAGGAGGTGACAAGATGTAATGTGGAAAACGCACTGAAGCCAAGAGCTTCAACCCCTCCCCCAACGTGTGCGAAATGGTCCTTGCACTGGTCCATGAGCTACATGTCCAGTGTGCAGAAAAATACAGAGAAGAACAAGGACCCAGGTCTGCCCGCTCAGATTTTAAAAAGTCCTTCGGAAATAAGAAATCGCGGTAAGATCATCTGTGGTCTTGCCTGTTCTCCCTCTCATGTCTCTTTTTAAAAATTACTGTTTTTCTGAACTCAATATTTCTTTCTAAACCAAGTTCACTGTGCTCTCACACACACCCACTGGGTGCATAGGGTGGTTTCTGTGTATTTTAAAACTTCACCACCGTGGGACATAACATATACAATGTATTGCAACTTCCAATGCTTTTTAGAATAAATACATTAGGACTATTTGAGTGGGCAATCGGCTTTCAAAATCTTGAAACCTTTCGGGTATACCAAAAGACCAAAGAGAAGAAAAATACAGTAAACCCATGCAAGACTGCACCACACGAGGACCATTCCTCAGGTGGCCTTTGAAACCCAGTCACTGGGACTCTGTTATAGGAATAGCTGCAGAACAAGCACCAACTATTCTGTCCACCTTAGGAAGCCTCTCAGGTGACCACAGAGGAAGAGCATCCATGTTCCCCATGGTCCTATCACACCTGTGACAATTGACTAGACTCACAGCACCTTGACGTTCTTACGTAGTAAATGTTTTATTCCACCCAACATGAAAAACTGGAATCCAAGTCCTGATACTCGGCAGCTCACACTGAAAATATATCCCTCCTGGTGAGTGTCCCTGGTTGGCAAGGCTTTGCAGGAGTCACCACGCGCTGTTCTGGGAGAATCCGTGGACCCTGTGTGGCTCCCCAGGCAGCAGAGACCCGGAAACCTTCACCATGCCCTGTATCCAGCAGTAGATTAGTAACTGGTTCACTGCTTTGGTGTACAAAGATGTCAAGATTTCAGACCATGCCAAAAGGGGGTGGGGGGGCAGGGGCAATGAAATCCAGAGATTGAAAACACGGAATGAGAAAAAGTCCGTGAATGAATGGATCAATCCAGCCAGCCAGCCCTAGGTGGGACCTTACAGAACACACCACAAGCCCAGGCCAACACTTTCAAGATGTTCGGGGGTAGAGAATTAACTCTTTAGGAGGGAAACCAAGAAGCTTCCCGCGGACACAGTGACCTGACCAATGGTGTGTAACTCTTCCCAGCTTCTATGAGCCGACCAAACCACCGTTTCCCACGGGCAGGAGGTCAGTGACATAGGGAACCACCTTGCCAGTGAGCACCTGCTCTCTTCCAGGGACCCTTCAAGGCCCAGTGACTCTCCATTCGGCTTCTGAAGTTCCTAACGGTCACCCAGAAGACAAAGGACTGGTGATCCTCTCATGCCTAGCTGAGCCTGACTTGGACTTCTAGGATCCTTGACCACACTCACTTTTTGTTCGTAACACCAACTAAAAACACCATCTTTTAAAAATGCTGATTTTTTCCACCGAACATAATTCTATAGATTCTACTCAACTTGCTAGTTTTGGGAAAGAACAGTATTGTATACTCCATTCATACTTTATACCGAAAATGGTAAACTTTATACCTTTTAAGGAAATCTCAGATATATGGGATCTGGGTAACTCCAAAAAACTTGTGATGATTCAAGAGATTTGTGGTCTGAATTAGTCAGTTTTACATTGCTGTGACCAAAACACCTGTCAGGAACTCTAGATGAGGCAAGGTTTATGTCCATGGTCAGCCGACTGCATTGCTCTGGGCCGGAGGTGAGACAAAACCTCATGGCGGAAGGGCGTGGTGGAGGACAGCGGCTCAGCTCATGGCCAGAAAGCAGAGTCTGAGACCAGGGAGACAGGAACGAAATAAACTCCCCAAGGGCACGGCCATACTGACCTGCCTCCCCCAGCCGCACCCCGCCCCCAATACCTACCACCCAGTGATCCATCCATCCAATGGATGACTCCACGGCTGGGGTTCCAGCTCTCATAGCTCATCATTCCACCTCTGAACCCTGCTACACTGGATATCATGGGTCCACCAAGTGGGCATTTCACGGGACACTTCATACCCAAACCCCAGCATGGTCCAAGGTCACATGCAGGAGCAGCAGAGGTGGTCTGTCTTTCCACTAATAAACAGAGCGATTTGGAAAGCAAGGGAGGCTGTCCTAGGTCTTTGCAGCAGTAAAAGCTATCAGAACCCCTGTGCTTGTGCCTCACATCAGGTGAACTTACGAGTGTCTTTGGGAGGGAGAATGACACTGACGTCCACAGGTGCTGGAAAGCCCAGCCCACTGCAGCAGGGACGTGCAGGTGCACCAGGGAGAGAGGCGCAGGAAGGCTCTGCACATTCTGCCTCCGGACGGACCCCGTCTTCCTTCTATTCTGCCTTATCTTTCCCCGGCTCGCCGACTGTCTGGGAAGAGTGACATCTTCATCTTCAAGAGTGACATCCAGGAATAGAAAACCCTGCCTGAGTCAGGCTTCGTGGAGTCCAGATACGAAGCGTCTCGCTGCAGGGCCAATTTCCCTCAGTCCCAAACTCCTGACACCTGCTGCCTGCTCAGTCCAGCGAGTGGAAGATGGCAGAGCGATTTTAGGCGCACCAGAGGAGGACGAGACCAGCCGATCAGATCATTTCCCCGCATGACCCAATTCTTGCTCTTCACCGAACACAGAGAGAAACAGTCACTCAATCCCTAACTCTTAGTACACAAAGCTCGGTTACCCCTATTTTCAGTAGACCCTCTTTAAAAAATGGGGCTTTTTCTAAAAATACACATTTGAATGACTGAGGTGATTCAGGTAGCAGATAATTAGAAATGGTGAGAATAAAATAATAACCACGGGGAGAAAACTCAGGCAATGTAAAGCAGCGTCCATTTAGGGGGACTGCACACACACACACACAGGCTTGGAGACCCCACACTCTGACGTGGAGAGCAAACGTCCCAATGTGCGGTCTCTGAACACCCGCTCCATGCGCCCCCTCCCCGCCGCGCCCCGCCTCCTCAAAGCATCTCTACCACAGGGTCTGCTTCTCCTTGCACCATCCCTGGGGGGTGGCACCACCCATTCCCAACAACCCTGGATGAGGGCAAGAGCCTTTGTGAGACAGAGCCAGGACCTTCTCCACCCATTCCTTCCCAAACTGCTCGACTTCTCTTCTCCTGGGGACCCGGGTCTATTTCTGGTGCTGCCCGCTGCTTGCTGAAAAGCTTCTACTGGCTCCTCCCAGAAGCACTCGGGGTGGCCAGAGGGCAGAAACCACTGGAGGGAGAGAGAGGAAGGAGAAACGGTGGAAAACCAGCAGTCAACCCCACAGCGGCCCACAGACAGGAGCTCAGCGCCACCGGGCCCCTGGGGACAAGAGTTGGGACCAGGCCAGTAAGAGGGGCCTCACCATCCTTCGCTCAGGATGAGTTAGCTGTGCGCTGGCCAGCTGACAGGGTGGCAGGCCCTGGCCAAATGGCTATCACTCATCTGACCAGCCGTGGGGCAGGAGGACGAGGCAGCAGAGCCCAGGGCCATCCTGCTAACAGACCACTCATGCAGCGGGGCACAACAGCAGGACACTGGTGCTGGTGGGTCCACTCACCACAGTTAGCCAGACCCTTATCTCACAGAGAGAGCACCGAGTTCTGCATTGTAAAGTGCCTTGCTAAGGTGACGGACATGGACCATAGCCTTGATGTCACAGCCCATCCACTAGATCTCCGAAGGCACGGGCTGTTCTGAAACCCATGTCACTTGCTGGACCCCTGGCTGACGGAACAGCTCTTCTCCCACACCAGCTGTGCTCCTTGGTGTTGAGCAGCAAGTCTATCCCTCACCCACCACATGTAAGTGCTTGGGAAAGACCCCACCTTTACAGCAGTGAGTCCCCACCCCAGCTGCCCATCAGAGCCTCCCGGGAGCCTTTAAAGACACTCCAGTGCCCCAGCTCCAGTCAAATCTCTGAGGGCAGCCGAGTATGCTGGGAATTTCAGTGTTTTCAAAGCCCCTAGGTCATCCTACTGTGCGGTCAGGAGTGACAACCTCTGCTGTAAAAATTCAAAATTAATGTGCAGAAGATGCCAACATCCCTGCTTTCATACAAAGTTCCCAAGCCATCTCAGAGCACATTTTAGATGACCGGCACCTGTCAGAGTATAGGTGTTGACAGAGCTGCCGTTTACTGATCATCTATTGCATGCTTCACGAACATTAGGTAGGCTGTAAGCTCCCTGGGGGCAGGAACTTGGCTCTGCCTCTGTCATGTGCAAATGTCCCGCACCTGGCTTGCACGTTGCAGGAGCTAAACAAATACCTGTCTAAGGTGCAAGTGGAAGATCTCACACTTCCCTCATGGTGGCCCTTGGCTAAGCAAGCATTAGCTTAAAAATCCATGCCTCTAATCCCAGTGGCTCTGGAGGCTGAGGAAGGAGGATCACAAGTTCAAAGCCTGTCTCAGCAAAAGCAAGGTACTAAGCCACTCAGTGAGACCCTGTCTCTAAATAAAATACAACCGGGAAGCCCACACGGCGGGCACCGGGCGGGAGGCCCCTTCCAGCTGCGGCTGGGCGCCCAGAGGCCCGAGGACAGAAGGATTCCAGATTTCAGGAAGACCTAACCTTGTACCTGCATGCCTACTCCCCTTCTCTCTGGTCCTGTTAGACTCTCCAGCTCTGGAACGCCGACCCTCACTGCTCAGCTAAGGATCCTGGGGATTCTACCTTCTCTAAACACATCCAGCTGAGTAAACCCAGGGTGTTATTATACCTGGGGAGAGTAAGAAGTGGGGGGTCAAGGCACCAGAGCAAGAGCCCTCTGGGGCCTCAAGAAGAGAAGTGAAGCTGGAACCATCAGGGAATATGAGTGAATTTTGGCACAAACTGGGCTGCTGCGTGGTAGAGAAACCCCAGCCGAAAAAGAAAAGACGACAAATCGACCGGACCATGATTGGGGAACCAATGAATTTTGTCCACCTGACTCACATTGGCTCTGGGGAGATGGGGGCTGGAGATGGACTTGCCATGACAGGTGCAGTTCAGGAGCAGATGAGATCCAAGGGAAACCGAGACAGGCCGTGGAGCAATTCTAGGGGCTTATAGCCCCATAGGAATGGTTCTACCGTCTTGAAGCCCCTGCTTTGTGTCCAGTCCAGAAGAAATGCTGTCCCCACCAGATCCTTCCTAGAACACAAGGGCCCTCTTTTGCCTATCTGCCTAATAGTGCCTCAAAAGGCATGGGGGCTGGACTCCCTCTACTCCCTCTGGCCATAGCCCCTCCTGGAGATGGGGTCAAGGCAGCAGGACTGACCACATGACTACTGTTTGGCCAGAGGAGCTCAGCTGAAGCCCTGGTACTCTAGATCTGAGCTAGGAGTTCTCTGGGAATCTGGAATGAGTTCCCTTCTCCTGAATGACGTTCTAGGTGCCACTTGTTTTTAAACTCCTGACCCGGAACTCCTTTGATGGGGTAGGTAGGTGGGATTATGCAAGCTGAAGCTGGCTTTGCTGAGAAGCTCCCTACCTTCATGCCCGTCTATTTCCTCCTGGAATTAACTAAAGTAGATTTCAAGCAGGGGCTGGGTGGTCACCACTGCCTGATCAAGTCCATTCTTTCTCTTCAGATTTTAGACCTTAAGCTATAGTCCCTCAATCTCTGCCAATACCAAGGTCTTTCCCTAGTTAGGGCTCTAAATCCTATGTTTCTGTAGCATTACTAGCTTCCCAGCACCATTCCCCACCTTTTTTTTTTTTATTAAAAATTTAATTTAAGATGAGTTATTTTAATTATCCCCATCCTGCTACTCCTACCTCTGCTCTTAACTTCATCCCTGTTAGGAACTTTATTGTTTCCCACTGAACAAGGATTAGGAGGTAGATGTTGACAGTATTCCATTTAAGTCTTGGGGCATCTGGCCTGCCTTCTGCCAGCCTCCCTGTTAGCCCAGGTAAGAAGAGGAAGAGAGGGGCTGGAGAGAAAGCCATAATGCAGCAAAACTAGGAGTTATATCTCAAGATGGACTTCCTGACCATTAAGGATAGAAGAGTGCTGAGAGAGCAGTTGTCTGTGTTCAGGGTCTTTCCTCAGCATGGGAGCAGGACAGGCTCTAGAATAAGGTTTAACCAAGACACAGTCGTCATTTGGAACTAGGTAATTTATTTGGAGAGCTGTTCTGTGCATTTTATTTAGCAGCATTCCTGGCCTACCCTAGTTATGACAACCCCCAAATTTTATTGTCTCCAGAAATTACCAGATGTCTACTAATGGCAAAATTACCTACAGTTGAGAATCAGTTCTGGAGTCAGGATGGTTTTCCATCTTCCACCTTTCCCTAATCTGGTTGTTTATCTTAAGTCTGAGCCTTGAGTGAACTACAACCCCTTATAAAGTAGGCTCAGTAGAGCTGCACATAATTTTTTTTCACTCAGTGTATTATTTGTGCTTGCATAGGATTATGTCTGTGATGGACATGTATCATGCTTCTCCATTCTTGCTCTGTGGAAGAGGGGTTCCTGCAGTATGGAAACAGGAACAGGGTATGTTGGGATTGGAGAGGGAGGAGATAAAAGCAGCAGATATACCCTAGTTATTGTTCCCAAGTTCTAAGCTTTATTTCTGTGCCCTAGTCTTAAAACCAGACACAAGACTCAGGAAGTTTTGTCTGAAGACCAGGTCCCACTCCCCACCTGCTCAAGGCGGCTTTAGATGGGAAAGCAATGTAGGAGCAGGGTCTTTAGGCACTTTGTTTTCTCAGGTGTTTTTTTGTTCTGACCCTTTCCTTGCAGGGTAATTAGGAAGGCCGAACAAGACTATTGAGCTCCTGCCTGCTCTAAGACAAGAAGGCTGGAGTCTTGTTTACCTCTGTAATAGGAAGCTTATTTTATGGTAGAGGGGTCAGGACTCATGGATACTCAGTGGATTGTGCTTGCATAGGATCATTTCTGTGATCCTGTAAAAACTGGTATCCACTCTGCTGATTTCACCATCCATACAGTTTGCCCCACCTACAGTGATTAATGTTTCAATTTTTTTCAAATTTCATTGTACTTCCTACAGTTTTTCAGGGTCTAAGATTGGTCATAGAGATACATTCCCAGTTTACTCTGTTCTAGGCAAGTTAGTTGTTCTGAAAATAGCCCACCTTTTTGCCCTAAAGTCAGTGGCCTGAAGGTGAAGTCTAGAGATCTAAAGGGTTAACAGGATAGAGTGGGAAGGGGGCTGGCAGACTCCTGACCTCTAGACACATCCTAATATATTCTTTGGACACATCTTCTCTTTGGTGCTCTCTTGCCTTGAGCTGCCTTCCTTCTCTAAATGTATGCTACCATCACTTTAATAATAAAGTGACAGGAATGGGTTTGAGAGTCATAATTTATATTAAAAAATTGTTAGACTTTTAAAATACATTTTTCAAATAAAAAATATAAGCAAAAAAAAAATAAATAAATAAATAAAATACAAAATAGGGTTGGGGATTGTGGCTCACTGTTCAAGGGCCCCTGGGTTCGATCCCTGGTACCCCAAAACTTAAAAATCCTCATTCATAAGGAAATCCTACAAAAGACTCCAAAAGAACTCACGCAACATGATGCTTGCCCTACCTACCACACAGATAATGTTGTAACTACATGTCTTTTCTAGGAATTAAATCAAAACTGATCTTTCCATCACAGATCACAACTGTGAAAAGTTCTTCTGGGGCTGGGGTTGTGGCTCAGTGGCAGAGCACTTGCCTACCCTATGTGAGACACTGGGTTTGATCCTCAGCACCACGTTAAAACATATAATGGAATTATATCCATCTTCAACTAAGAAGAAAAAAGAAGTTAAAAAATTTAAAAAAGAAGAGTCCTTCTGACCAGTGACAGAGCGCTTGCCCAGCATGCACAAGGCCCTGGGTTCAATTTTCTGTACTGAATTTTAACAAGTCGTTGTGCATACCAGCTCTACTTTTTAATTTCAAAAACTAAAGCCTAGTGCCACCAAATAAATCTTTGGGCTGCCAAGTCTCCTGTTGTACAATGATCCAGGAACGTCTTCTATGGCAAGCACGGTCTGCCATGCCCGATTCATTATGAAAGGCCTCAGGAACTAAACGGAACAAATTAATCACATCTAACATGAACTGTGACTCAAGGCTTAGTAAAGGAGTGAATCGGCAAAGCAGGAACCAGAGCCATCACCCCCGAACAGGGCCTGCCGTTCCCGTTCCCGAATCCCGCAACAAGATGGCAGAACCTAGGCATAGCTCTTCATCAGTAAGACCCTGTACTCCTGGCCCATCAGTGCCAGGCTCAGGATGGAGGAGCTCAGCAGGATGGCCCTGCTTACAACGAATACCAGCACAGATGAAAAATACAGAAGGTGCTGAGACAGAAGGCAAAAGATGAGATTTCCAACATGGTCCTTCCTCGTCTCCTCTCAATCAAAAAGGAGGGCTACCGGAAGCTGAATCTCCATGAATAACCCAGGGCAGAAGTTTCATGGTTGGTCAGGAATAGACTGAGCAAAAGTGGTGAAGGGAAACCCGTGGAAGGTAGGAGGGTCTCTGCTCCTTATTTTAAGATGTGGTCTTGCGATGTTGCCCAGGCTGGCCTCCAACTTAGTGAGGCAGCCCCGCAGGCCGAGCAGGACAGGTCAGGGGAGAAGCCAGGTGGCCCTGGCTGGGACCACGCTGCACCCAGCTGCTGCTGCGGGGGATGCGAAGAGCCACCGTCCCCTCCACGGGCACCTGGGGCCTGTGCTGCCTGCTCCCCTCAGCGCACACAGCACGAGTCCCAGATTTACCCTTGTCCTCGTCCCACCCGGCTGCACCCATCTCTGCCGGATCCCTGCTCCACATCCCAGCACGAAGGGGCTCTTCAACAGCAGCTCTGACACTGGGCGCCATCCTGCTAATCCCCACAGGCGCCCTACCCTGGAGTCCCTCAGGGCTCCCCTCAGGGCTCCCCATTGCCCCTAGGGGAGGAGCCGAGTCCTCGCCAGGCAGTCAAGTCCTGCCAGGGTGGACCCCCAGCCCCTGGCCACCCCCCACCCACACTCCACATGGAGTGTCACCTGAGTCTCTGGCTGCTCGGGGTTCCTGGAGCACAGCCTACTGCCTCCCACCCCACAGCTTCTCACATCTGATTTTCCCTTCTGCTCGGTTCTCTTGGAGTCATCGACGCCAACTTCAGCCTCTTAGGAGGGCTCTCCCCCACCCACAACCGCGTGGTCCATACTGTTTCTCTTCCAGCTGTGAATGGAGTTCACTGTCCTGTGATTGTGTCAACCACGGCCTCCTCCACAGACTGGCAAGTGGATGAGGACAGATGCCGTATCTGTTTCAGCGAGGGTGCCGCTCATCCCGCTTTTCAGCTTCCTCAGCTCCCCCAGAGGAAAGGTGAAGACTGCTCCCTCTGACTCCCAAAGGACCCAGCTGGAGTTACCCTAGTTTAAGTTCCCACTGAATCCCCAGGATCGGTGCCCACGGCAACTATGTTAAGTGGTCAGTCCAGGTTGACTGCATTACTCATGAGAATGAAGTCCAGGAACCGGACACGGATTTTATTTATATATATTCATATCAAAAAAAAAAATTCACGCCAGTAATCCCAGCGGCTCAGGAGGCTGAGGTAGGAGGATCATAAGTTCGAAGTCAACCTCAGCAATTTAGCAAGGCTATAAGCAACAAAGGGAGACCCTGTCTCTAAATAAAAAATAAAAGGACTGGGGATGTGGCTCAGTGGTTAAGTGCCCCTGGGTTCCATCCCTGGTACCCAAAAATTCCAGAGACTCTCCGAATAGCTTCCCAACCTTTCTAACACACCCAATCACTAAACAGAACGCCATCAAATGTAAAGTCCACTAATTCGACGGGCACTCAGCATCACTGAGCTTAGCGACCAGATATGCAGACGGAGATCAAAAGGGTGCTCCAGAGAAGCACTGGACTCCTAAGTGGGTCACTGGGAGATTAACTGCCTCCATCAGGTCAGTGCCTCAGAGGCGAGAGAAAGAACCCTGACCCAAATGAGGGAATCAAAGTGGCTTGTCCACCACAGAAGCTCAGGAAGAAGGGCTCTGCCTTAATCACGGGGTGAGAAGAAAGGAACTACCCTCCACTGATTAGCTGGTTTTCCTAACCCTCACACAGGTCTCTGTGAACACCCCTCTCTGAAAAGGGAAATGTAAGGTAAGCACCGTTGGTGAATCTGCCCTGGACCTTCGACATTGGATCCTTAATCCGTGCAAGCAGCAAGGGCTCAGGCCAGCCCTTCTGGGACTACAACTCTGCATTCCCCAGGAATCAGACTACAGGGGGAGGAGATCCTCAGGTTGCCCAAGGCCAGCAGGCAGCTTTTGAGCGCTCCTAAGTTAGGAGGTGTCGTTACCATGGCTCCAGAGAGCTGTGCACGGGGCGGGAGAGCTCTCAACAGCAGCCGAGCCATGAGACCACCAGCCAACGCAGCGGGCGCGTTCTGCAAGTTAGGAGAGAGAGACTCCGCAGTGGCAGGGCCTCCCCAAGACTAGACAGGCACCCACTGGGGCTGTTTCTCTTTGGGCCGAGGACTCCCAACAGGCTCCACAGCCAGATAAGGATCTGCAGG